ATTCACAGCAACTGGCAGAAGCAAAAGGAGTTTATTACGTAAAAACAGGCACCAACCGCATTTGGGTACCCGCGTACTCACTACTGAGGGAGCTGCTGCTGCAGGAGGCACACGACGGGATTACCTCGGGACATTTCGGGGTAGAAAAAACACGACAGCAACTGCAGCGGTACTATTACTGGCCGGAGCTGTTGACCGACGTACAGCAGCACGTGGGCTCGTGCCCGACGTGTCAGGTGATGAAGAGTTCAAGGAAGCGGAAGGCGGGTCAATTGCAGCCGATCCCACCGCCCGAACGCGCCTGGCAGCAAGTAACCATGGACTTCGTCACAGGGTTACCTTCGAACCCTGGGGGTAACGACGCGGTGATGGTCGTCGTGGATAGGTTGACGAAGATGGCACACTTCGCTGCGTGCAAAAAGTCGATCTCAGCCGAAGAGACCGCTCGCCTGTTCATCGCAGCCGTTGTTCGCCTGCACGGGATACCAGCAGCAATTATCAGCGACAGGGACACGAAGTTTACCAGCAACTTCTGGAAGAATCTCTGGGAGCAGTTCGGGACCAGGCTACAGTTCAGTTCGTCGTACCACCCCGAGACCGACGGCCAAACGGAGCGGACGAATCAGACGATGGAGCAGTTGATTCGTGCCACGTGCGACGACCCCACGACCTGGGAGCAGCAGCTGCCGCTGATCGAGTTCGCGTACAACAACGCCACATCAGCCACGACGCAGCAGTCCCCGTTCTACCTGAACTATGGGCAGAACCCCACAGTGCCCATGATGCCGAGTCCGGACAACCCAACGCCACGCGCACAACAATTCGCCGAAATCCTGCAAGCTGCCCGCGCCAGAGCCGCCGAAGCAATAAAAAAGGCCAACGTCATCGCTAAGCGCAACGCTGATCGCCACCGCCGCCCCGTCACGTATCAATCTGGAGATTACGTGCTACTCGACACGCAAAATCTGCGACTGCCCGACGTACCAAAATTACGACCGCGCTACTGTGGACCATTCCAAATCAGTCACATGATCACACCCGTCACCGCGCACCTACTGTTGCCAATTGACTGGTACATCAGCCCTTCGTTCCACGTCAGCCTACTTCGCCCATACATCCCGACCACGAGTCAACTGCCGCGTCACCGGCCACAATCAATGACTCGCCCTGCATCAGAGCCGATCATCGAGCCCGAAAATTTTTTGAGCCATCGGATCCGCCACCCCACGGGAATCAGGAGGATTGAATTCCTCGTTCGCTGGAAAGACCGCACGCCAACTGAAGATAGCTGGGTGCCCCTGAGCAACATCGAAAATCACCCTGCCCTGCAAGTGTACTTGAGAAGCCGGGGATTCCGCGATATACACGCACTCGCGTAGCGGAGGGGGCTTCTTAAGGGGGGGGGGGTAGTGTAAGGAATTTTCTCAGGCATTCCTTACGGAGCCGACTACATCGCGTACAGCAACAGCCGACTGTTCGCCCGTTACTGCTAACGGAACTTCGCCGACTTCGCGCGCACTGTTTTGCCAAACCTCGCACTGCTGGCATGGCCGTATCGGCCTACGCTTCGGGACTAGCCCGAGCCTCGCTCCAGCGTAGCACTAGCAAGTTCGCACGCACCGCGTTACCGTTTTGCATGTTTCGCGTATAAATGCTCGCTCATGCCTTCGCTCACATTTTGTACTCGTTTGACACCTTAGTGCAATTCTCGCTACCTCGATTCATTGCACCCGTAACAAACAAAAACCAAACACAAAGTCGGTAAAACAAAAGACCTCAAACATTCCCCCCGATAGTAGAAGCATTTTTGTCTGGAAGCCTGTCGGTGACACGTCAGATATCGCTATACGGTTACAACCATCACCGAAAAAGAGAGCCAATCACAATCGCTCCACTTTTGGCTTGGGAGGGGCACTTTCTTGCCGAGTGAGCAGCTAGCTGTACAGTACAGCTCAGGCGGAGCAAGGATTGTAGCCTTGGGGGACGAAATGCGAGTGGAGACTGGAGAGCACCCGCGTACAACTGCGAGGGGAATTTAGTCGCTTTTTTTTGGGTTGCGAAGCAACCCTTTACGATCGATTTTGCCAAATTTTATTTTCATGTTTATATTTTTTTAAAAAATCATGAAAATAAATTTTGTCAACTACAGCACTACCCTTCCCAAACTGTATGCATGTTGAGCAGTTTTGAATACGGTACTGTTCATAGTGCATTATTCCATATGAACATTTTGCAATTGTTTAGTGGAGATGTGCTGTACTGTTTGCATTATATGTTACTGTTAGATGATGTTGTGTAATGATGAAGAGGTGCATGCGTAATGCATAAATGATGCTATACAATGCATAATGCATAGAATGATGTATATAATGCATGTGATATGTGATGAATGATGCACATGCACATGATAAAATGCGTGACAGTTAACAACCCAAAAACTAAGCTATCGCCATCCCCTGCCTAGCATGGGGGGGAGGTCAATAGCAAAATCTTTGAATAATCAACTAGCACATGAAAAAATACAATCTGTTAACTCTAAAAAAGAGGTTCACTCTATCAAATCCAGTTCGAAGTGGCAAACACACGAGTCACTGAGTGCGCCAATGAACCAATTAGAAATGATAGAAATGAACCCCCTTTTTAAAATTGACAGACATGCATTGATATTGCAATGACAGATGAGATGAATGCACTCACACGAACAAACACATTCACACAATAAAAAACACGAGCTCCGGCAAACCCAGCCAAAAAACACGAGATACACGCGAACTACATAACAAGTAAATCAATGTTAAAAGGACAATACGATAAATCCTAGTGACCAATACACATTTTCTGGATTGAAATCGCGTTCCTGACCGGAAAGGCCCCTGACAAACGGGTTTAGGAAGTGGAAAGGAGGAACGGAAATTAATAGCCAGTACAACAAAAAAAACAGAAAAAAGGCATAAGGTGTGATGAAATGAAGAGAAACAGGAATAACGAAGAAACAAATGAATCAATACAAGGGCTAAGAAAAACGCCGTGAGCATTGAATGGTTAGACTTGACAAAGAGCATGGAGAAGAATCTAACGAGGCATAAAACGAAAATAAGGAACGGGAATAGAGGAACAAAATACCGAGACAGTAAACGAAAGAAGAGAATATAACGAATACAGAGAGCGAGAACAACGAAGAGCGAGAGCGAGAGCAGGAGCGAGAGAGGACTAGAGAGAGGGGACGAGAGAGAGGGGACGAGAGAGAGGACGAGAGAGAGAGAGAGAGAGAGAGAGAGAGAGAGAGAGAGAGAGAGAGAGAGAGAGAGAGAGAGAGAGAGAATGAGAGAGAGGGAGAGAACGAGAGAGAAAACGAGAACGAGAGAGAGAGAACGAGAGAACGAGGACGAGAGAGAGAGAACGAGAGAGAGAACGAGCGAGAACGAACGAGAGATAGAGAGAGTGTTCAATAAATTACGATTTCTACGATTTCGAAAAAAAACATGTGTAAAAACAAGATCTAAGCCGACCTAGTTTAGATCTAAGCCGTCCTGTGTTAGAATTAAGTCGACCTAACAAGTATCGAACGCGTTTAAGTTGCAAGTTAGGAGCTTACCTAGCGGAAGTCCCGTAGCCCGTCAGCAGATCGAGAGGAAGAAGGAAAGGGAGGGCTAACTAAGAATAGGAAGTAAATGACGACAATAAGAGCTTACATCTTACCATGAGCTAACAACTCTAAATGACATCTTAAACTTTCTGACCTTGGAGTGGTAGGTGGAGCGTAAGTAGCGTGAGGCAAAAGAACAAGCTCCACTGGCGAGAAGAAAAGAGAAAGAGAAAACGAATACCTAGAACCTAGAACATAGGCTTAATCAAACTATTTTTTTAAAACGCGGCCAACACAAGAGTAAACAACTATGGTACGAGATTAACGCATGCTAGTCTCGCTAGAAATCAGGTAACTTAATTCTACTTGAAACGGTAAGGTAGAGTTGTTCTCACCTTAGTAGGAACGGGTAGGTGGGGCGTGAGTAGCGGGGAGCTAAACCAGCGAGCGGAAGGGAGGGAGAATGAAAGGAAGAGACAACCTAACAAAGTGTCAGATTCGTCGTTATATCATGTACTTTATAAAGTCATGTTGCTTTTCTGTGCAGTAGCGCTAGTGCAGTCGGTAGGGGAAAGGCGTTGGGTATGAAGGAGGTAGGTTCGAATCCTGCTGAAGCTGCTTATTCGAGTCTTGCTATATATGTCAATTACCACAGGTTTTTATTAAAGTATTCGCACTTGTAGAAAATTGTGTACATGTCGTTATGTAAAATGTAAAAATTTGTGTACATATCGTTATGTAAAATGCTTCGCAACCCTAAGACGATTTCGTCGCCTCTTGTTTCCGCTTGTCCCCCCACTCAACGCATTTCCTCGCTGTCCCCAAACCTACCCAACCCGCCCAACCATACCGAACCCAAGCCTCTTGCAACACATGAGCGAGCGGACCGTCGGGTTGAGCAGCATGGCGCGGAGCGGTGCGGAGGCGCAAGGAAGGGACGAGATGGGCGCACAGCAGAAAGAAGGAGCACATCGTCCACAGTCGGCTCAGCAGCATCCGTTGTGGCAGTTGCGGCCAGGCACACGCTTCTTCTCGACAAGCCGCCTCCCAGTTTTCTTGCTGTTTCTAGCTCCACGCACTCAACTTGCTCCTCGAAGCAATGTTAGTCCGTGACCAGCCTTGTTCAGTGTTCCCTACTCCTGACTTAACGCTGTTCCTCTGCGCATCTCAGAAGTAGTTTGTTTTTTCTGCGTTGTTCGCTCCGCGCATCACGCCGATCGCCACCACGGAAGAGCACTAATCAGCCGTGCGGTTCCCCCCACTGTGTCGCGCGCTCCCAGCGTAACGAAACGCTTGGCGCCTCAAACTCGACGCGCTCCCTCGGCGCGCAACGCATCAACCGCTCTTCTATCCTTTCATTGTGACTCCACCACCGCCGCAAGCCACGCATGCGAAGAGCGCAAACACCGTTGCAATGCCGATCCATAGTAGACGCTCCGCTTTCTCGCGCCACGTTCTGTTGCCGCTCCTCCTGCTCGTTCTCCCCTTCATAAGCCATGTCACCGCGCAGACCAGCGCAAAAACGTACCCGCTGTGCCCGTTCACGCAGCAGCCGCCGGCGAAGCCGAACGTGACGATGGCGCGGTGCGTGGACGCGTCGGAGCGCGCGTGCTGCGCGGACTGCAGCGACGCGAGCAACGCGCTGCACGGGCTGACGGCGAACCAGACCGTTGTGCTGGAGATGCTCAAACCCGAGATCGTCGCCATCATCGGCAACAAGGACGTGCAGGTGACTATAACGCGGCCGACCAGATCGCAGTAGCGCGCGCGTGCTAGTGACTGTAGCGAGGAGGAGCAGGTGAGAAGACAAAAACACGTGCGCGGTCTCCTATTCCATAGGTGCTAGCCAATGGGTACTCAGTAATCCAGTTCTGGGTCGCATCACCCCAATCCCTCCGCCACCCCACGGTTCCCGCTGTGCTCCCGATATCCGCGCGTGTGCATGTGCGTGTGCGCGCCTTGCGGGGGCGGGCGGTTGGCAGCAATGCGCGATGTTCGTGGGGTTCGACGCGTGCAGCTACGACCTGGAACAGCTCTACTGCGCCATCACCTGCAACCCCGGTCAGCCCCTGCCCATGCCCACGCCCATGCCCATGCCCATGCCCATGCCCATGCCCATGCCCATGCCCATGCCCATGCCCATGCCCATGCCCATGCCATCACATGCCATGCGTACTACTACCCGTAAGCATACCCATATCCGTGCCATCTATGCGTCCATATGTCCATGCCATGCCCTGCCATGCCATGCCCATCCCTCCTGACCACCCACCATCTGACGCTCCTCGTCACCCCCCACGCCACCTTCTCTCCGTGTCGCCACGGCACCAGATGGCGGCACGTATGTGAAGGCGTCGACAGCGACCACTGGCGCGCTCACGGTGTGCGATGCGTTCGCCACCCAGGTGTACGCCGACTGCAAGAACGTGCCCAGTGCGTGGGGAGCGAGGGGAGGGGGGAGGGGAAGTGGGGAAGAGAAGTCAGACAGAGGGGCATTGAGAGGGAGAGGCAGAAGGGGGGTGTTAGTCAGAAGGGTTGCATGGGTGCATCCAGAGAGGAATTGAGGGAGCTGGCTGGGAGGCATCTCCTGTGAGGTGCTCGTGTTTATGGGTGCATGGGTGCAGGGGCTCATGCGTTTATGTGTGCATGGGTGCATGGTTTCTATGATATCCATAACCTTGCTGTGTCCTCAACGGCTCTCCTGATGGTGTTGCATGGTGGGGAACTGCATTGTGGTATTGCTCTCCTTGGGATGGTGTCATGGCACTGTCATGGATGGCATGGGCATGGATGGCATGGCATGGCATGGATGGCATGGCATGGCATGGATGGGCATGGCATGGGCATGGATGGGCATGGCATGGCATGGCAGTGATGGGGCAGGCGACACTGGGCAAACTATTGAGCAACAAGGAGATATTCATCAAGCTCGTCTTCGGCCTGCTCTTTGCACGCTTCAGCGGCATCAACGTCACCGTCAACGTCGCCCAGGTGCCCACCACAACCGCCATAACCACCACATCCACATTTCCAATCTTGATACAGCACATTTCCCCCCATTTTTTAACCACTATTGCCGAGCCTCCAGCGCAAGCAAGCCATGACCAAGTGATGCTGTGGCCATGCCATGCAGGGGGAATCGGTGTGCTACAACGGGCCCAGCAAACCCCTACCTCCCAAGCCAGTGTGCTGTGAGACGTTCACCAACACCCCTGGCTGCTCCTTCAAAAACGACTCCCTCCTCGCGCCCTATGTCGGCCGCCCCATCAATCCCAATGCGTGTGCTGCGTACATGAATGGGTCGAGTGCGGTTGATTCCAACATCCCAGGTCCCGTGAATGCCAACAGCTCGCCGCCTTCAGGCTCGTCGGCCAGCAGCAGCAGCAGCAGCAGCAGCAGCAGCAGCAGCAGCAGCCCTCCACCCCCCAAAAATGCCCCCAAGACTGCATTGAACAGTGTCTCCGTGCTTGTCAAATCATTGGTCTTCGTGGCGTTTCCCATGCTATTATTGTAACACTTATGTCACAAACGGCAATTGTAAGATTTGCAGTTGTGGTCAAGCTTCCTGGTACACTCCTGATTGAACTTGATTCACAGCTTGCAACCAGCTTGCGGGTTTTCATTCCTTTTCTTTTTAAATTCTGAGAAGTCCTGCCTAATGGTGTACATTTCCCCCAGACGACCCTTCAATCGGGGCAGTTTCAATTTCACACCACCTTTCCCTTAAAACCATATATCGCACCTAGTTGTGTAGCGAAGCAGCGGCTGCAGCGCTGCACCGAATCGCAATGGCAGAGAATGAAAGTATCGCGCTCGCGCAGAGGGCGTGCGGAGAAAGCGGTCCGCGCATAGAGACAAGTGCGCGTGGAGCTCGTAGGATTGGTAGTGAGGACGCGGAATCATCACGGTGTGGCGCGGAGGGGCACGAGGCCCTGGAAACTTCCTCGAAAGTGAATGTTGAGAATCGGGTGGATAAGGATAGTCGCGAGGAGAAACGCGCGGGGGAGGGTAACGAGGGCGATGAAGCAGATGATGATTACTTGGTGCTGAGCGAGGTCCACGTGGCATGCCCCTCGCACCACGTCAGCACAGTCAGCACCTTCGCCTTCCGCCTGCCCCCTGCGGTGGCGGCAGCGGGATGGGCGCTACGCGGGGAAGCGGAGAATGCAGAGGGGTGGGAGGGGTCAGAAGACGCGGGGCGGAGTGGCGCGGCGGAAAGCACAGAGGGGATAGCAGGGGAGGGGGAGGGGCGGCGGGACACGGAAGGGGCGGGAGTGGCGGTGGATTCGGACGGTGATCTGCTGGTGGCGCGGCGCAAGCGGCGGCGCATAGGCAGTGGTGGGGGAGGCACAGGCGGTGGCGGCAGTGATGGCGCTGGTGGTGGGCAGAGAGGTGAGGGCGGGCGAGTGGGGAAAAAGGGTTTTTGAGAGGGGGGAGAGAGGAGGGCAGGAGGGCTGGCAAGGGGGAGCGGGATGAGCTTGCTGAAGCTTCTAGTGGGCCGCGTGCTGCCTGTGATGCCGCTAACCGCGCTGCTCTCCTCCCCAACCCCCCTTGTCCGTTTCGCTCCCCTCTTCTGCTGACAGGGCAGGCCGTATTGCGCAGCTGCCAGCAGCAGGAGTGCCACGTGGCATGGCAGTGCAGGCGGGTGCAGGGCCGGACGAAAACGAGGATGGGGAGGGGAGCGGTGAGAGGGGGGAAGGGGAGGGGCCTGCAGAGGTGGAGGAAGCAGGCGGAGTGGAAGGCGGGAGAGAAGGGGAAGAGGGGGGAGAAGGCGGTGGAGGGAGCGGGTGGATGAGGGTGGTGATCCGGCACACTATGAAGACCAGCATCGCCAATGTCGGCACACAGGTGAGCACGTGGGCACGTGGGACGTCGCCCTGCCCTGTTCTCACCTGCCCTGTTCTCACCTGCCCTCATTCACCCCACTCATACCAAGCCCCTCTGCTCTCGCCCCCTGCCCTCCACTCCACCCCCTGCTGTGCCTCACACCTCCTCTCTGCTCGCCTCCCCTGTCAGCCCATACCACGCTCTCACCCCTCGTCCGCCTGCAACCCCCACTCTTCCCCCCCCAGGTGTGGAGGGCATCACTGCTGCTGGCGGACGTCATGGTGGCCAACCACCGCCTGCTGGGGGGCGCCACTGTGCTCGAGCTGGGGGCGGGCGCAGGTACACCTGGGGGCGGGCGCAGGTACACCAGGGCGGGCGCAGGTACACCTGGGGGCGTGTGGCGCTCTGGGCACAGGTGCGTGTGGGGTGAGGCGTGGCGCTGTGGGCATGTATGGTGGCTAGCGACTGTTTCAAGCTGCACCCTTGCTGCGCCTCTGCTTACGTCCTCTCTGCCCCCACTGCCCTGCCCCACCCTCCTCTGCCTGCACGGGAGCAGGGCTGGCGGGCATCACGGCGGCACACTTCGCCACCCGTGTCATCCTCACAGGTACCACCTCCCCTCACTTCACTCTCCTCTCTCTCTCCCTCCTGCCGCCGCTCCTTTGACTCTGCGTCTGCTCACCCTTCATCCCTCACATGCCCTCACACATCTCTCTCTCACCGTCTTCCCTGCCTCTGCTCCCTGCCCTGCTTCCCTGCACCCGCACTGCCATGGCCCTGCGCTTCACCAGACACAGGCGAAGGCGTGCTGCGCAATTGCGCTGCCAACGCCATCGATGCCGCCATGGCAGCCAGTGCAGCCAGTGCAGTCACGGGTTCCTCGTGGCACCCCCCCAGCCCCGTGGCAGCAGCGCTGGTTCGCCGCCTAGACTGGCGCCACGGCTGGCCGCCTCCCGTGGTAACCGAGCGCTCTGCGCTCCACCAATCAGCAACCAGCTCTGGCTACAGCAGTGCACCGGGCAGGGCGGCAGGCGCACAGGCGGGAATGGGTGGCGCAGTGGACGAGTTTAATGGGATAGACCCGTTTGGGTGGACCGAGGAGGAAGTGGGTGACGCCAGCAACGCCACCGTGCTGCTGGCTGCTGACGTCATCTACAGTGATGACATCACGCGTGCCTTCTTCGGCACCCTTCGCTCCCTCCTGCGCTGCGGCCCTCCCAAGGTGCCTCCTCTGTACCTCTCTCTCCTTTCATTCATCTTGTACCTCCCACTCCCACCATGCTTTCCACCATCCGTAACTCGCAAGCAACTCATTTATTGCCACACATGATTCACACTCTGAAAATCAACCCGAAGGTGCTACAAGTGTCAGCTCCTCCTTCCTGCTGCGTCTCATGGGCCTCATTGTCCCATTCTCACCAACCTCCCATTCTGTATCTACCTCTTCCTCTCGGCCTCTCCTTTCCCTGCCTGTATGACCCCCCCCTCCCCCCAACCAGCTCCTACTGCTGGCGTTGGAGAAGCGCTTCAACTTCTCCCTCTCCCACCTCGCCCCTGTTGCCAACGGCTACGCCGTCTTCCGCTCCCACTTCGCCGCCCAAAACGGTGCTCCCAGCTGCTACAGTGGCGGCCACTGTAGCAGCGCGCAGCAGGCAGCACAGGCAGGAGAGGCCAGCTGCAGACTGGCCGAGCAGACAGGTGGTGGGCGGGGGACGAGGGTAGATGGGTGGCAGACGGTCGTGGATGGGCGGCAGAGAGAGGGGGATGGGGACAGGGAAGGGGAGGAGGAGGGGGAAGAGGAGGAGCTGTTGGGGTGGCGCATGGACGTGGGGCAGGTACCGCAGCACGTGGTGGGGTGGGAGAGGGGGAGCGACATGGAGCTCTGGGTCATTGGCAACCAGCGGTCACTGCCGCTGGTGTGTGAGTGGATAGAGAGGGGCGTTGGTCTGTCTTTCTGCCAAGGGGGAGAAGAGGAGCAGTGCTCCCCTCCTGAAGCCTTACAAGCAAATCCCTGAGTCCCACAGTTAAGTTCTTGATTATCTCAGTGCTTTCACATGGAAGTGCAGTCTGACAGGGCATTGTGTTCTGCAGTTGCGTGGTGCCATCTTGTTAAGCACTCGTAACCATGAAGTTATGACCTCGTACACAATCTATGATGGACTGGAACATACGGTATATACATTGGCCGGATTATGCAATTTTCTGCTCTAAAACAGTAGTGCAAGAGGGAGTAGGCAAGGCAAAGAGAGAATACGCAAGGCACCATAATAATGACGGCGCCACAATTGATCATCACACTCCCCGTAATGCTGCTCAGTACACGAACGGCACGAACCGCTTCACCCTCTTCATATAGGCAAGGTACCTCTCCCCGAACCGCTCCCTCAGGTGCCTCTCCTCCACGCGCGCCTTGGCGTCATGCACCGCCGCCATGGCGCACGCCGCCAGCAGCCGCGCCGTGCTGCCCGTCACGCACGCGACGGCGGCGGAGAGCAGCACGGCGGCGGCGTACATGGGGTGGCGCGCGAAGCGGTACACCCCGCCCGTCTTGAGCCCAGCGCCGTCCGTGCGCGGCTTGGGGAAGGGCGAGAAGCTTCCTGCAAGGTCGTTGAACGACGCGAGGCCAAGATACACGCTCAGCACGAGCAGCGGCACTCCCGCCACGAACGCGCCCTCGCGGACGGATTGAGACGCGCAGAAGGACAGCGGCAGGCGGAGCTTTTCTGAGACGAGCCAATCGGGAAGTGGGAAGAAGACGAGAATGATGGCGAGGAGCTGCAACGGGACCCATAGCTCTCCGCGCGTGCCTATGGTATTTTTATCGACGATGTGCGCCCAGTAGCCTTGGCGCTTCGGCATGGTGGGCTTCTGCATCATCGGCGTGCTGGGAACTGGTATGTCTGAGCTGTCAGCAGGGCGAGACGCCATGGCTACACTTCGGAAAAGAAGCAGCGAGTGTTACGGATAATTGAAAGATAGGCGAGAATCCCTGTAAGACTGCGATTAGATCGCTGCACGCTGGCGGAAGTAGAAGAGAATGGGGTTTGTTGAGGAAATCAGCAGTGGTCGTGGTGCTAGTACAGCAGACAGCAGGGGTGGCTGGGATTGCAATGGGGTGAGGGCGCGAATTTCCATCAATTGTGTTGAAATGTTGTCTCGATCGAACATCGAGTCGCTCGGACAGTGCGGGCGTGATTGTGAGACGAGCTGACTCGGAGCATGCAACTGGTGCATCCTTATTCGACCACGTGGCGTTCCACTTTTCGCTGATCCTGCTTGCGCAATTGAGACACACGGTAAATTTCAGTGCAGTGCAGTGTACAGATCGAGCGTCAAACTTTTGTTATAACCGAAACTCGTTCTATCAGCCAAATCATTCACTACAATCACGGATCCTTCGAATTCGTCACCCCACCCAACCCCTCCACCGCGTCCACCCCACACGCAAAGCCGAGCACCACCCTTCTTTTCCTATCTCCTCCTCGTTACTCGCTCCATGCTAGCGCACTCACCGCGTGTTCCGCTCGGCCCGTCGCGACCACTCCGCGATTTTCCCACCGCCAACTCAGATCGACTCGCTCATTCCGTCGCCTGTCCGCATTCGAACGAATCCCCTTTCATTTTATTCCCCGTCGTTCGATTCGCCACCATGTATCGCGGAGTGGTAACCAGATCGCTGAGCGCGGTGGCTCGTAGCAGCCGTCGGATCTCGTCCGCGGCACCCTCGAGGCGCCTCCACCAGCTTAGGAACCAGAATCTCTTGCCCTGCGCTCCCGAGACCACCCCGGTTTTCGGATCGTGCGGCGGGAAAGGCTCGTTACTGGCAGGCTGCAATCGCAGCCGTTGGATCCACCCGTCGTTTGCGGCGCGAGGGTTTGCAACGTCGTCGACCGATGCGGGGCTTCTGAAGGTTCTTAAAGCGGAGCTGGAGCACGAGGAGCAGGACTACGAGCCGCCCGAAGTGAGTTCCTCCGTTTAGTGCACAGTGCGGCGCGCGCGACGGTGAGGTTGACATGGCGGAGCGCTTACAGCTGAAAATTGTAGAATGCGTCGTTGATCGACGGCCTGAATCAGGGTTGTTTAGTTGGAATCGCTACGCAGTCAGATCCATCATCGTGCTTTCAGCGATGCCTCTTCCTCCTCCTCTCCCTCTCATATCCCGCTGGTCACTCCCTCAACGTTCCCCCCATCCCCCAACCCCTCCTTCTCCCCCAACCCCTCCTTCAACCCCGCATTCCCCCATTTCCCCATTCCCCCATTTCCCCGTTCCCCCACTTCCCCACACCCACGTCCCCCCACCCCCCCAGGACCTGAAGGAGGGGCCCCCCGCGGAGTGGACGGTGGAGGAGCAGGCGGGCACCATCGACGCGGTGCTGAAAAGAACGTACCAGGGGGAGGCGATATCCGTCGTCGCCGCCTTCGCGGACGACGACGAGGCGTATCCAGAGGAGGGCGAGGGGGAGAGCGAGGAGGAGGACGAGGAGGGGGAGGGGGAGCGCCTCACGCCGCTGTCGGTGCGCGTGACCGTTGCCAAGAAGGCGGATCAGCCGGAGCTGGAGATCGACTGTGTGGTGGACGGCAACTCTTGGATTATTCAGGACGTGCGTCTGGAGGACCCCAACGTGCCCGAGGACGGCATTCCCTATGGCGGCCCGCAGTTCTCGTGAGTGCATTCCCCTCTCCATCTGCTCCCCCTGTTCCTTCGTCCCCTTTTTTCACACACCCCCATTCCCCTTTCCTTCCCCCTTCACTGCGTCTTCGCATTTTTGCTTTGTTCAAACCGTCCTATGCCCACAGTCCTAAGCAAACTAGCTGTTCCGCGCATTCTACCCTTTTACTAACTCACCTTCTCCATCCCCTCCCACTTCACCCTGCGCCTTATCAAGCCCTCCTGTATTTCCATTTCTCCTCTCCCCCATCCGCACCACCTCCACACCCCCCCTCCCCCCTGGCAGCACGCTGGATCCAGTGCTGCAGGAGCAGTTTGACTCGTTCTTGAGGCGGAGGGGCATCAGCGCAGGCCTGGCGGCGTACCTGAGGCGGTACCTGGAGGACAAGGAGCAGCGCGAGTACGTGCGCTGGCTCAAGAGGCTCGGTGCCTTTGTCGCGCAAAAGTGATGATACGGTATAATGAAGGCTTTGCCTATACTAGGTATATCTACCATACAATGAACGCTTCCTAGTGGCATGACATACGGTAGTTTGGTTTGGACCTCACCTCACCCACCTCACCCCCTCATAGTTCAGGGAACTCCACAACACAACTCTCTGCAAAGACCTGTAGCCAACGCGCACCAACCCTAGATCGCTTCCCCAGATTAAAGATGCAGAGTCCTAGAGCATTCAGTGGCGCATGGCAAGCAGGCAGCAATGGCACGTAAAAATGGACTCAATCAGGGGGCACAACACAAACATGAACATATCTCACTAGGGGTGTGGGCATAAGGTGCCCAAGTGCCTACCAAGACACTCCACCCCACATCCGTAACGACTCACGCCCACTCCCCCTCCTCCAGAGGCTTCACCAGCTGCTCACTCTGCCACCCCAGCCCCTCCCTCACAAACCCCATCCACTCGTCCCCCTCACACCCACTCTCCTCCCCACCCCCCAACTCCCCCTCTCCCCCACCGCCAACTCCCCCCTCTCCCCCCTCACCCTCCCCCGCGGCCAAGTGGCGCTGCACCTCCCCGCCAAACTCCCTCTGCAAGTCATCCGAAGCCCCAATGAGCAGCACCTCGCACCCGGGGTGGTCCAGAAAGCCAGGTGGGTCGGCAGGGGCGAAGCGCAGCCCGTTGAGGCGGTGCTGCAGCGGCGGGGGGAAGGCTTGCAGGCGCACTGAGGGGCGGGCCAAGTAGGGCAGCCTGCTGGGCGCCTGTGGGTTCTTCACCTGCAGCACGTAGGAAGCTTCCCTCTCTATATTGAACGCCTCCTGTGGTGTCTCCACTTTCTCCCCCTCCGCCTGACCTGCACTCTTGGTTTGGTTCCCCTTGCCACAGACAGCTTCCTCCTTAACTCCTGCCTGCGCGCCCTCCCCTTCCTCCTGCCCTTGTCGCCCTCCTGCCTTCTCCTCCTCTCCCGCTGCCTCGGGCCACCGGAGTGAGTACACCAGGTGGGTGTGACTCTTCCTGCTGCTGCTGCGAGCTGCCCCTCGCCCCGTGGCCCCTCTGGCGCCAGGCACCTGCCTCACAATCAAGTACCTGCCTCACAATCAAGTACCTGCCTCACAATCAAGTACCTGCCTCACAATCAAGTACCTGCCCGCTGCTGCCGCCCGCGCTGCTGCCACATGCTGTGTGCCACGTGTCTTGGTCTCGTAGGTGTGTGCAAGGGTGGGTGCGTGAGTGGCGGGGGGAAATGGGAGCAAGAAAAGCAAGGCGAGAGTTACAGATGCATGGACAAGAAAAGCAAGGCGAGAGTTACAGATGCATGGACAAGAAAAGCAAGGCGAGAGTTACAGATGCATGGACAAGAAAAGCAAGGCGAGAGTTACAGATGCATGGACAAGAAAAGCAAGGCGAGAGTTACAGATGCATGGACAAGAAAAGCCCATTCCAGAGGAACCATCTACTGATAACTCGCCTTGGAGCAAAAAGTGAGGATGCAGGCAGTACAGAAACGTCGAAGCGATCAGTTGAGCGTGCAGTGAGTGGCCGTTTACCCACCTCCCTCAAGCGCCGCCCTGATGTCCTCCACGTGGGGGCACACGGCATCCACATAGCCCCAGTGTGGTCGAGAGCGGTGCGAGGGGGTGGGCAGCAGCTTGCGCCCCACCACCAGCAGGCGCAGAGGGGGCCTTTCCTCTGCCTTCCCTTCCTCTGCCCCCCTATTGTCTCCCATACCGCTCGCCACACCCTTTTCTTCCTCCTGCTGCTGTTGCTGCTGCTCCTTCTTTTCCTCGTCCTCTTGCTTGCTCTGCTTACCCCTCTCCCCTTCCCCCTCCCCCTCCACTTTTTCCTCCACCGCCTCTTGCTTCACCTGCTTCCTCCTCAGCCCCTCCCGTCCTGCCTCCCCCTTCTCATCCCCCTCCCGTCCTGCCTCCCCCTTCTCATCCCCCTCCCGTCCTGCCTCCCCCTTCTCATCCCCCTCCCGTCCTGCCTCCCCCTTCTCATCCCCCTCCCGTCCTGCCTCCCCCTTCTCATCCCCCTCCCGTCCTGCCTTCCCCCTTCTCATCCCCCTCCCGTCCTGCCTCCCCCTTCTCATCCCCCTCCCGTCCTGCCTCCCCCTTCTCATCCCCCTCCCGTCCTGCCTCCCCCTTCTCATCCCCCTCCCGTCCTGCCTCCCCCTTCTCATCCCCCTCCCGTCCTGCCTTCCCCCTTCTCATCCCCCTCCCGTCCTGCCTCCCCCTTCTCATCCCCCTCCCGTCCTGCCTCCCCCTTCTCATCCCCCTCACCCTCTCCTCTCGCCCTCTTCCTCCCATCTCCATCTCCCCCCTCCTCCCTCTTGACACCTTCCGCGTCACCATCACCCCTTTCCCTCACTCCGCTCTCCCCCGCCACCTCCCTGTCGGCTGCATCCCCTCCCTCCGCCTTCACCCCTCGAGCCTGCCCCGGCTGCTCTTCCTCCGCCTTCCGCGCTTCCCCTCTGACCTTTCCCTCCGCCTCCTCCGCCTTTCCCCCGCCATACGCGCGCTCGCCGCTGTCCAGCGGGCGGAGCAACATGTAGAAGCGCTGCACTTCATCCACGCTATGCGCCTCCTCGCGATTCACTTTAGGGCGGTAAAAGAAGAAAATATCGCCTCGTTCCTGATGAATTCCCATCCATCCAAGCACGAGACAAAAAGGTAAGCGTCCGTGAAACAAGTGTGAAAAGCGGAGGGCGCCATGGCGATGCGCGTGGAGCGGCGCGGACGGCGCAGACCGCGCTGAAAGCCATCTTCACATCGTGAACTCACCAGAACGAGGTAGGGCTTGTGTATGTCAACCATGGTCGGAGGTCGAGAGGGATGGACGGCATGGATCGACGTGCACTATATCGTACACCACACGATTGGCCAGTGCGCCGGTAGTCGCAGCGGTCCTTCTTTCGCCCTCGGAAAAGTTCACTCCTCCCGTCACAAGGGACAAGCTCTCAGTTCGCAGATCGCCTCTCATGTCGACTCGTAAGGTGTGTGGCTCTAGTGAATAGATAGCAATCGTAGCGCGGTTTTCCTGCGCCATGTGGTGCTGAGAACCTGGATGTGGATGTGGGGCTGCATGGCTCGAAGAGAAACTATGATTGTACGGCATTGTAAGCGATTCGCTTGGGATTAAAGATTTACTATATACACGTTTAGCAGTCCATTGAAGTATTTTTCTTGCCGTTTCAACAGTTCATAGATTCTCCCTGCTTTCCAGACCCCACTGACCTGGACAGCTTGTCGTCTTGCGTGTTTCAAATTGTTTTGCGTCACGCTGGAACTGCCACCCAAGGTTTTCACTGTAGTCGCTCGTACCCAACCCGCTGATTTCTAGGTCTCTAAACGAAACGAACCAAACTCGAAAAGTGGGGCAATCCCAAGGCTGCTGTGCGTGTTCCCGTTCCGTGCCGATCTGCGCGCGCACCGCCCAACCAAACCGTGCTCCTCAGCTCCTACTGGCTCCCTCTCTCTGCTCACTTTCTCCCACTTGCTTCTCTCTGCTCGCGTTTCTCCCCTGCTGCCTGTTCCACTTCACCTGCTGCTTCCTGTTTCTACCCACCATTCTTCCGCGTTTCACGTTAGGCGTCCACGGATCACCTCTTCGCGTTTCACAAGCGAGCGGTTTAGTTTCAAATGATATACTACTTTAGGTCTCTCGCGGCGCATGGGTTCGTATCCACAGCGTTCCTTCGCGTTGTTTAAATCAGTGCCGAGTCGGTTTTGAAGCCGAGGATGTCGGGAACGCTGATTGGTCAGGAGCTGGAGCCTTCTCTGCTCGTAGACGTGGAGCTGCACTCGCCGCGTGATCCGGATCTTCATGCGAGTCAGCATGCGCATCAGCAGCAGCTGGGCGGGAAAATGGAGTACAATTACCTCCAGGCACGTTTCGCGGAACCGAGCCTTTATGTTTGTTTCCAGGAAGGAAGCAGAATAAGGGAATTGCGTTACGCGGCGACGTCCTTATTGACGGTTCTTGTTACGACGCCATTCCGGCGTATTTCCGCGTTAGAGTTTTTTTTTGGCGTATGTCGAAGACTGGATGTAACCTGTAAGCAGCAGGTTTCTGCATTGCCATCGACGCATCAACAGCAGCACGGCTATATCTTAACCTGATCTCGATGCTGGATTAGGGCTTGGATTACGGTCACACGCGACGGTGCGACTTCGTTGGTACTGCGACGCGGTAGTGCCTGGACAAGCGGTTTGACTTAGTGGCCTCGATAGAGCTCCCCGCTGATACATAGCTGTCAGGGAAATACTGCGGCTTATGGCCGCTGATCAAGTAGCTAATGGAACGCCTTTTAAGGATTTATGAATTCGTTTACTCAAGCGGTTACTAAATAACGTGTACTATTCTTCGAGTACATTGCTTCCCGTTCTTAAGTGGACGATTAGTACATCGTTTTTGTTAATACGCATCGATAGGAATGTGTCCACTGGTTCCCCCCACAACTGCGCACTCCTCCTCTTATCACTCCTCCCGCGCGTAGATCTCTCTCTCTCTCTCTCTCTCTCTCTCTCTCTCTCTCTCTCTCTCTCTCTCTCTCTCTCTCTCTCTCTCTCTCTCTCTCTCTCTCTCTCCCCACATACACGAAAACCGCATGTTGTTAGGTTTCCCGAGCAAAAATAACAATCCTCACCCTTATCCCCGCTCACGTGCAATCCGCGCGTGCCTGTGTGCGCATGTGATGCCGGTGGGTGCGCGCAGCGGGTGAAGGTGTACCGCCTGAACGACGACGGCAAGTGGGACGACAAGGGCACGGGCCACGTGTCCGTCGAGTATCTCGAGGTGAGGCCCGGGGACAGGCACGGGGGAGGGTGAGAACGGAGCAGACTCGCCTGCCCGATCTGCCATTCGTTCTGCAGAAACCGCACGCTCGTGTCTAGCCCGACGTTCTAACACTCGCTTTCCTCTCCCCCTCCTCGTACCCGTGCGTGGCGGGGCTATGCGTGGGTGGCGTGGCACGTTGGCAGCGGTCGGACGCGATAGGGCTGGTGGTGATCGACGAGGAGGAAAACGCCACGCTGCTGGTGTGTCCTAAACACGTGAAAGTCCCATCAAATACTTGTCTTTCTGCCTTTCCTCCTGTCACCCATGTGGCAGCGGTCGGACGCGATAGGGCTGGTGGTGATCGACGAGGAGGACAACGCCACGCTGCTCGTGCACCGCATCTCCACCGACGACATCTACCAGCGCCAGGAAGGTACCTACCGCCGGGGGGAGGTACACCCAGGGGAGGTTGCGCTGGGGGGAAGCAGACCTAGAGGTAGCGCCAGGGGAGTTAGAGCCAGGGGAGGTAGCTCTGGAAAGGTAGCCTCACTTGGAAAGGTAGCCTCACTTGGAAAGGTAGCGCTAGGGAAGGTTGTTCCAGGGAAGTGCAGAAGGCAGGCTCTTGGTTTCCACAGCGATCATCCCTTCCCCTTCCCCCTTTTCACCCCGTTCACCCGGATCAACCCACTTGTTCCTCTCCCCCCTTCCCCCCCCCCCCCAACTTCATCAGACACCATCATCTCGTGGACGGACCCCGAGGTGGCGACGGACCTGGCGCTCAGCTTCCAGGAGAGCATGGGCTGTGCTTATATCTGGTGAGACGCGTGAGGTGTGCGTGTACGCAATAAGAAGCTTGCACACTTTTTTTCATCACTGGGGTATTTGACAATCAACGTTCGGCCCTTAATCATCTGGTTTTTGAAGAACCATCTTTTCGTCAGCTCTCCCTGTGTCTCTTACCTCCGTCCTCATCTCTCCTTCCCACTGTGTCTCTTCTTCTCTGCGTCTGCCTTTCCCCCTATACCCAAACCCTTCTCTCTGGGTGGCAGGGATCAAATCTGCAACGTGCAGCGCCAGATCCAGCTGCCCTCCGTCCTCGGTAGGCAGTGTGCCGTCCGGCCCCTCGCGGCTTGTTGTTTGTATCAGCCGAGCTGGGCTTCACACGCCCTCACACTCCTCATCCTCTCGTATCCCTACAAAGCACTCTCACTTTGCTACCCTCTCACCGTGTCGCCAGTAGCTCATCCCGCCTCCCCCTCTCCCTACCCCTCCCCACTCCCCCTCTCCCCACCCCCTCTCCCCCTCCCTGTCACTCTTCCCCTCCCTTCTCTTCTCAATCCCCCCCAACCCCTCCGCATGCAGCAACGGAGGTGGCAAAAGACTCATCGGAGCTGCCAGCAGTGGAGACCCGCACACTGCCAGCCATCGCTAAGGTCTGCAGCCTGCTCACCTCGCACCCCCCTCCCCCTCCCCCCCCCCCTCCTCCACTCCCCCCCACCCCCCCCCCTTCCTCCACACTCACACACACACACCCACGCCCCTCTTCTTCACTGCCATCAGCACCGTTGCCCTCCCTTATCCTTGACCACTTGTCGTCTCCTTCGCTTCAGACTGCTCTCGCCTTTCCCCTCACCCCCATCCCCCCTCGTCAACCCCATCCCCCCTCTTCACCCCCATCCCCCTCCTCTCCCCCGTGCAGCTGGTGACGGACGTGTCCCCCTTCCACCGGGACCGAATGGCGTCCCTCATCCTCCGCGAGGTGATCCGCTCGCTCCCCGCCCTCCTTCCGCCACGCCTCTCTTCTCCCTTTCTGCACCCATCCCCTCCTTTCTCTTCGATTGCTTCTCTGCTCTTCTTTTTTCACTCTCCTAACACTTACCCTCACCCTGTTCCGCTATCCTCGCCCTTCCCCTCTTCCCAACCAACACCACTCACTCCTCTCCTCTACCCTCCCTCCTTTCCCGCCCCTCAACCCTCACCACCCCATTTTATCCCACAGGGCTACGTGCAGCGGCTGGTGGCGCTGTTCAGGGCGAGTGAGGGCGCCCATGACACCCCCGCGCTGCACCACCTCTACCGCGTCTTTAAAGGCCTCGGTGCGCCCGCCCCTGCCCCTGCCCTGCCCTGCCCTGCCCCGCGCTGCCCTGCTGCTTTGCACTCTGCTGCTGTCCGTTCTGCTGGACTGGTATCACCCGCGGTCGCTGTGTGCTGCACCACTGCATCCATATCCTCCATCCTCCCGCCATTCTCTCTCCATCTCCCCACCCGCCTGACTTCCAACTCCCCCATTCTCTTCGCCCTCCCCTCTTACCCTCTCTCCGCTCCCCATCCCTCTCCGGGCAGTGCTGTTGAACGACTCACAGCTGTTGGAGCAGCTGTTTGCACCGGATGCCATCATGGACGTCATTGGCGCACTCGAGTGTGAGTCACCATGCTGCCATGCCATGCCATGCCATGCCCGCATACCAGCATGCCACCAAGCCACCATTCCACCATGCCAACATGCCGCCATGTTTCCCCCACCGCCTCCCACATGCCTCACCTGCCACGTGTACCTCATGTGTGGCTCTAATCTCCCCTTGCCCCAACTCTCCTCACCTCACCTCTCCCTTCCCTTCCTGGTCCCGCCTGACCTTTTTCCTCCCCAATCTTCCCCAACTCCTTCTCCCCGTCGCCCTGCTGTGCAGACGACCCGGACGTGGCGAGCAGGCAGCAGCACCGTGCGAGTGTGCAGCAGCAGGCGGTGTACCGCGAGGCGCTGCCCATCCCCAGCACCGCCCTGCTCGCCAAGATCCACCAGACGTACCGCCTCGGGTACATCAAGGTGAGACTCGTGGCGTGCTGTGTTGTGCTGTGCTGTGCTGTGCTGTGCTGTGCTGTGCTGTGCTGGTCAATGCAGTCAACGCGGTCAACTCTGCCCATCCCCAGTGCCGCCCTGCTTGCCAAGATCCACCAGACGTACCGCCTGGGGTACATCAAGGTGAGACTCGTGGCGTGCTGTGCCTGTGCTGGTCAAGGTCAGTCAACCCAGTCAACCTGCCCATCCCCAGCGCCGCCCTGCTCGCCAAGATCCACCAGACGTACCGCCTGGGGTACATCAAGGTGCGATGCGTGGCTTGCTGTGAGAATCAGGTCCTCGGGTCAACGAGTCAGCACAACACATTCAATGCAGTCAGCACAGTCACAGTTGAGAGAGTGGGGAATGATAGGAGGGAAGCGGTGTGGAGAGGGAATCACAGTGGCATTGGCTGAGTCAAGTCAATGTTGTCAAGCGCCTGATCCTATCACTGCCTTTCTTAACCCGTGTGCTGTCACACCCCGCTGTCTGTGACTATCACAGGATGTGATTCTACCGAGGGCCCTGGACGACCAGACGTTCAGCAGCATCAACTCGCTCATTCTCTTCAACAACGTCGAGGTGCACCCCTCCTCCCTCCCTCCTACAATTCCTCGCTCCTCCGTTTCGCCTATATCACTCGCTGCAGCGCTCTCCTCTCCACCCACCCTGTCGCACTCTCCTCCCACCAGAGCAACACTCCTTTATCACATCCTCGTGCCCTACTCCACCACACCACACCCCACTCCACTCCCGTTATCCATCTGGCCACCTCGTCTCTCCCTTGTCCATCCGCACCGCTCATCAGGTGGTGACGACGCTGCACGGCAACAAGCCCTTTCTGGGCGACCTCTTTGCGCGCCTGCGCGCCTCTGACCCCCACTCGCCCCAATTCACCGACCTCGTGAGTCCTCCTCTCCTCCACCTCCTTCCCTTGCTCCTCTCACTCCACTCGCCTGTCACCCACGACCTGGGCTTCACACACTGACTGCTTCCCTGTTTGACGCAATCAACCCCTCTTCTCCTCCCCACGCCCTCCCCTCTCTCCTACCCCACCTCCCCCCAGGTGCGGTTTCTGCAGGAGTTCTGCGCGCTGCACAAGCACCTGCAGCTCGCCCAGCGCACCTCCTTCTTCAGGTGCCGCCCAACCCACTCGCCCTCATGCCTCCATGCCACACCCGTCCTCCACCTCGCCTGCCACATTCGGGCATCCTGCTTCTGAACACCCACTCTCTGCGGCATCCTGCTGATGACCACCCCAATTCCTTGTCTTTCCACTCTTTGACTGGACTTGAGAAACCCTTCCCTGCCCTTCTCTCTCTCCCACCCGCCTCCCCTAACCATCGGTGGGCAGTGCGCTGATAGCGCTGGGCCTCTTTGACGTGTGTACGCTCGTCATGCAGCACCCTCTGCACTCTGTTCGCCTCTCTGGGTGAGACACACCACCCTTGCCTTTTCCCATGCGCCTTTGGTCCCCATCTTGTCGTCTCATCTATCAATCGCTCCTTCTTTCAATGCGCATGTGGGCCCGCCACTCACTCTGTTCCTGCCGTCCTCCTCATCGCCCTCGTCATTCCCTTCCCTTAACTTCTTCCTTTCCCCTCTCCCCCCCCCCCCCACCCCCACCTCCCACTGTGCAGAATCGACATACTCATGTCGCTCATGGTGCCAGACCCCGCCCCGCTACGCACGTTCCTCGTGGAGCAACCCAACCACGCCCTCCTCTCCTGCCTCGTATGCTCTATCTCACTCAACCCCTTCGCTCTTTCGTTGTGTCTCTCCTCACGCCCTCTCTCCACGCCACTGAGTGTTCTCAGAAGCGAATGTCTTATTCCGTCCTCCCTCTCATCCCATCCCATGTACGCACCCTATACTGTGCTATGGTGTGGTGGGAGCAGGTGCGCGGCATGGTGGCGTGCAGGCAGGCGGAAGGAGGCCTGCACGCACAGCTGCTGGAGATGCTGAGAGTGCTGCTGGACCCTGATACCATGGACGCGGTGAGGCTCCGTACATTCGCTGTCACTAGTAGAATTTGTATGGTGAGCTGCATGCTAGGTGCGTGCAGGGATGCAGCAGCAGTGCCGTGCAGCTGCAGGAGATGCTGCGAGTGCTGCTCCACCCTGATACCATGGACGCGGTGAGGCTCAGAAGAATGATGAGATCACTAGTAGGATTAGTACTAGTACTGTAGGATGTATGCTGGGTGCTTGAAGGGATGCACCCATACTGTACGGCAGTGGTGCAGTGCAACCATGAGTGAGTGCTGCCAGGCATGCACACACGCGCTGCCTTGTCACATCCTCACATGCATCATTCAGGAGATGGTGTGCAGACGGTGCATGCATCGTTCACACCAGGGGACCTATTTCATGTCCTTTGAGACGTCTCAAAAAGGACCTACTTCATGTCCTTTGAGCCGTCTCAAAAAGGACCTACTTCATGTCCTTTGAGACGTCTCAAAAAGGACCTACTTCATGTCCTTTGAGACGTCTCAAAAAGGACCTACTTCATGTCCTTTGAGACGTCTCAAAAAGGACCTACTTCATGTCCTTTTCTCTTGTACTCTTCTCTTCTCCCTGTCGCCCCCTCTCCCACCTAACCTGCCAGGCCGACAAGAGCAAGTTTCTTGATCTCTTCTACGAGGACTACCTTCAGCTGCTCATCTCAGCCGTTGTTGCCGGCACCAGCGCATCTCAGCCGTCCACGTTCCCAGCTGCTGCCCGAAATTCCACCGGGGCTATGAAGAAGAGGCGGGCAGCTCAGGGGAGGGCAGATGGTGGGGGGAGCGGGAGAGTAGACAGAGAAGCGGGGAGGGGAGCAGGAGGCAGGGGTGATAATGCAGAACCTGCAGAGAGGGATGGAACACAAGGACGCCAAGCAGAGAGGGATGGAGCACAAGGACGCCAAGCAGAGAGGGATGGAGCACAAGGACGCCAAGCAGAGAGGGATGGAGCACAAGGACGCCAAGCAGAGAGGGATGGAGCACAAGGACGCCAAGCAGAGAGGGATGGAGCACAAGGACGCCAAGCAGAGAGGGATGGAGCACAAGGACGCCAAGCAGAGAGGGATGGAGCACAAGGACGCCAAGCAGAGAGGGATGGAGCACAAGGACGCCAAGCAGAGAGAGGGGGGGCGAGGGGGGGTGGAGAGCAGGGGGGTGCAGAGGGCGAGGAGAGGCGGGGGCAAGAGCGGGGTGGTGGAGGGGGTTCCGAGGAGGCGCCATCACCGGACGTGCTGACAAGCATCTGTGACCTGCTCTGCTTCTGCGTGCAACACCACAGCTTCCGCATGAAGTGAGCGCACTCTAACTCACTCCATCGCTCCGCCGTCCCTCCCATTATTCCTTTCACCGCAGTGGAAAAGATGCCGCAACCCCTTTCTCCCCGTCTCCTTTCACCGCAGTGGAAAACGCCCCCTCTGTGTTCCGCTCCCCCCCCCCCCCCCCCCGGGTTCCGCTCGAGGTACTACTTGCTCGGGTTTCTGCATGCTCTCAAACACCCCCTCTGTGTGTCCACCACCACCTCCCCCTTGATACCCACCCAGGTACTACGTGTTGCGCAACAGTGTGGCGGAGAAGGTGCTGCGGCTGACGCAGCGGCGGGAGAAGTACCTCTCTGTGGCCGCCATCCGCTTCCTGCGCTGCTGTGTCGCGCTCAAGGTGAGTGGCGGTCAAGTTGAGTGGCGGTCAAGTTGAGTGGCGGTCAAGGTGAGTGGCGGTCAAGGTGAGTGGCGGTCAAGTTGAGTGGCGGTCAAGTTGAGTGGCGGTCAAGTTGAGTGGCGGTCAAGTTGAGTGGCGGTCAAGGTGAGTGGCGGTCAAGTTGAGTGGTGGTCAAGGTGAGTGGCGGTCAAGGTGAGTGGCGGTCAAGGTGAGTGGCGGTCAAGGTGAGTGGCGGTCAAGGTGAAGAACCATGCACCTGTCTCACCATCACCCCACCTTCCCCGCCTCCCCCTGCCCTCTCGCCTCACCCTTCCCCACCTGCCAGGACGACTTCTACGTGTGCTATCTGGTGAGGAACCGCCTGCTGGACCCGGTCATGGCGGCCTTCTGAGTCCTCTCACTCACTAGTCGCCCTCCGCCCCCCTGTGGCCACCATGTACCCCTCTCCTCCCCTCCCCCGCCCCGCACCCCTCACAACCACAGGACGACTTCTACGTGCGCTATCTGGTGAAGAACCGTCTGCTGGACCCGGTAATGGCGGCCTTCCGCGTCAACGGGGCGCGCTACAACCTCCTCAACTCCGCCGTGCTTGAACTCATTGACTTCGTGCGCAAGGTACGAATACAAGGGAAAAGAGGGAAAGGGGGGAAACGGGCAAGGATGGGTGGAAGGAAGGCGGATGTGGCCTTTTGGACTTGTCAATTGTTGCGCTGAAGCTCTTTGACTTGCCATGCCACTGTCACTCTCACTCTCACTGCCCCTACACTGTCGTATCACGTGCACTCCATGCATGAATGCACTCCATGCATGAATGCACTCCATGCATGAATGCACTCCATGCATGAATGCACTCCATGCATGAATGCACTCCATGCATGAATGCACTCCATGCATGAATGCACTCCATGCATGAATGCACTCCATGCATGAACGCACTCCCCAGGAGAACGTGAGGCCGCTGGTGGCGTACATAGTGGAGTCGTACGGCTCGTGGCTTGACTGCATTGACTACGTTGACTCCTTCAAGCTGCTCCGACTCAAATACGAACAGGTGAGAGGGATGGCACACAGGCATGCAGGTCCGCCGAGAATGCAGGGCAAGGGTGGTGGTGGAATAGGGCCCTCATGAACCCCTCATGCCTTCACTCTCGCATGCTCTCATGCCATTGCCATCCTTCCCATTTCTCCCTCCATGCAACCCCCCCATTGCTCCCTTGATTGCTCTCACCATTTCTCCCCTGACTGCTCCCCCCATCGCTCCCCCCTTTGCCTCCCGCATGACCCCCTCCACAGAATCTCGAGTCCAACAGACCAGCTGTGCCTCCCCCTGTCGTCATTCTCCCCCCTTCCACCTCCCACCACCACCACCACCACCATCATCACCACCCGCACCAGCACCACCATCAGCAGCAGCAGCAGCATCCGCTCTCCTCTCCCCCCGCATCTCCTCCCCTTCCCACTGCTGCAACTGCAGGCATGGAAAGACATGACAATGACGCTGCGAATGACGCCGCCACCGATACACGTGCGCGGGCCAATGTTGATGCTCATGCTGCTCCTTATAGTGATGCGGATGATGCTACTGATGCCGCTGATGCTGAAACCAGAGATGCTGCTGGTCACGTTGATAATACTAACAATGATGCTGCTGATGGTGGTGATGATGATGGTGAGGAGGAGGAGGAAGAGGAGGATGAGGATGAGGATGAGGAGGAGGAGGATGTGGAAGCTGAAGGCGAGGGTGGTAGCAATGACGAAACTAACGATGCCGACGCTAATGGCGGTGAAACCAAGGACGCTGATGCTAACAGTAGGAACGTTCAGAGGCTTCCGAACCTCTCTGGTTCAGCAGCAGGCTCGGCACTGGGTGTTGTGCCGGTGATGGGAGGGGAATGGGATGGGGGCGACGAAGGAGAAGGGGGAGTGGAGGTGGAGGGTGGGAGGGGGAGAGGGAGGGGGAGAGGGAGAGGGAGAAGACAGAGAGGCAGTCGAGAAGGGGAGGTGGATGTGGATCCGCAAAATAACGGTTTCCAACAAGATGGCAGGTGGGGATTGCGAGGGATTTTCTTGTCTTTTCAAATGCTGGCAGGTGGGAACTTGCCTTGCTGCCGTGCATCCTCTTTCCCTGTGCTCTTTCTTCACCATCGCAATCACTCTTCCTTTGTCTGACCGTCACCCACATGCCTCTCCGCCGTTTCTCCCTTCTGCTGCCAACCCCACCGCCACCAGTGATGAGGATGCTGACAACCCCGAGTCTGCACCAGCAACGGTGCCAGGAACCCACTCCCCCCCTCTCCACCCGCCCCACCCATCCCACCTTCCCATTCCCCTGCCCTCCCTCCACCACCCCCTTCGCCTCCACCCCCACCGGCTGCCCCCACACCAATCCCTCTCCCCCACCGCCCGCCGGCCCTTCTCTCGTTCACCCTCTCCCCCTCTCGGACGGCCGTCGTCTCCGCCCGCCCGCCCGTTGTCCCCATCTGCCCGGCACTGCATGTCACGATCGCCCTCGCCGCCCCCACCACTGCCCCCACTGCCGCCCATCAACGGCACCATTGGCAGCGAGTCCAGCAGGTGGGGTTCTGAGGCTGCTCTAGTGGTACCTTACCTGGAACGCCCTAGTCTCACATGTCAAGTGCAGATAAACTGTTGCAAAAAATGGACCCATATGGGAATGGATCATGTTCTATCCTGTCTGCCTTTGGTCTCGTGTCCAAAAGCTCCCTCCAAGCCCTTATTCCCTTGAATTAGCCTAGAATCCAATTGCGGCTTTTCTGACCGGCCTTAACTCTGTCCTTGCTTGCCCCTCTTCCCAATCGTGCCCTTCCCTGTTCAGGAAACGGCCGCGTGGGTGCATGGACTCCTGTGCACCACAGGCAGAAGCCGGTGCGGATGGGAGGGGGGAGAGTGGCCGTGAGCAGGGAGGGGAAAGCAGCGGAGTGGCAGCAGAGGGAGGGGAGCCGGGGCCTAGCAGCAAGGCACTTGGTAGAAAACGCAGGTCTATCGAGGGGAGGGGCGTGGATGAGGGCGAGGAAGCAGGAGGGGGTACAAGGAAGGAGAGGAGGCAGTTGAGTGTGGTGGTGGGGGAAGGGGACGGGGAGGGCGCTGGGGAGGACCAAGGGGATTATGGGGATGGCAGTCCCAAGGGGGCTAGTCCCAAGGGTGACAGTCCCAAGAGCGGCAGTCCCAAGGCCGGCAGTCCCAAGGCCGGCAGCCCTAAGGCCGGCAGTCCCAAGGGGGCTATTCCCAAGGGTGGCAGTCCCAAGGGCGGCAGTCCCAAGGGTGGCAGTCCCAAGGGTGACGGGAGGGTGGGAGGTGTGCGAAGCTTTGGGGATGCAAGCAAGAAAGCACTGTGCATGAGGAAACGGTTCCTGCAGGTGCGCACTCAGGATAACACCACTGCGGTGCCTCTGGGGGAGGTGGCTCCTGGGGGAGGGCCGCCCAAGGGAAGCGGAGGGGCGCAGGGAAGGGAGGAGCCGACTCTTGGTGTGTGCTCCCCTCGCCCTGTGCTCTGTGACCCGTGGCGGAGCGCGAGGGGGAAGGGGCGAGAGCGGGCAGGGAGTGCGGAGGGAGGAGAGGGCGATGGTGCTGATGGTGGTGGTGATGATGGTGAGTGGGCTGTGAGACTGGCTATGGCTGAGGAGGAGGAGGAGAGGAGGCAGGCAGACGGGGCTGATGGGGATGGCAACAAGGGTGGAGGGAGTGAGGGAGCGAGGGGAGGTGGAGGTGTGGAGGGCGAGTGTGCAGGCAGTGAGGTAGCATGTGGGGATAGCGATGTGGGGGGAAAGGGTGGTAGAGATGCAGAGGAAGGAGGGGATGACATGGATGGGGCTGGAAAGGGGGAGTTAGAGGGCCAGGAGGAGGAGAAAGCACATGGGGAGAATGCAGGCAGTGGTGCAATGAGCCTTGGAGATGAGGCAGGAGGGGCAGATGCACGGACAGCAGCAGCGGGAGGTGCACAAGGTGCAGCAAGGTCGGTGTTTGAGGCATTGAGGTAGCGAGCATGCTGCGAGCAGCACAGGAGTATCAGGGGCTGCACGCATGTTGCTGCCCCTACAAAAGCATGTCACATGGCAGGTCGGCCTAAGTGCGGGGCAGCTGAGGCTGCACGGCATGCATCAGCAGCACGCACCACGGAAGTGGGTGTGCTAGGGTTTTCAATGGGAGGAAGTGTAGTTTGTATCTCGTAGTGGCTCCCTTCAATAATTGTGAATCCTAAGCTTCGGCTGATCGCTGAAAAACATATCAGAATTAATTTAACTCCCAGTTCCTGTCCCACAAAGCCAATACCAGTCAAAAACAAGGCCATAGACTCCAATTTCCCCTTCAGGGTCACCTCTACCCTCTCTAAACCCCAGACCACTGATCACAACTGCCACGTCTACCAATCATGGTCCACGAGTTGCAGCATGGCAGCAGCGTGCGGGCCTCTCAGCCACGCCACCAGGTCCGGCCCAAACGCCACTAACTTCCCCCCATGCTGCTGCCCCCGCCCCCCCCACCCCCAACGGCAGCCCCAGCCGCCCCACCTCCTGCACCACCGCCTGCCTCACCCGCCCCTCCCCCTGCCCGCCCCCTTTCTTCCCCCCCCACCTGCTGTGACCCCCTTGCCCTGTCACCACCACTACTTGGTGTGGCGCCACCACCACTCCCGGCGCCCCCTTCCTCCTCGCTCCCCCCCCTCCTCCGGTCACTCTCACCAGCACTCGCTGCCACGCTGCTGCCGGCGCCAGCTGCACCAGCAACTCCGGCCCCCCTGCTTCTATCCCTGCCCCTGTCTCTCCCTCTGCCCCTGCCCCTGCCACTGCCGTTGCTTCTGCCTCTCCCTCTGTCTCGCTGCTCTGCACGGATCCCCCTCCCCTCTGGCTTGGGTTGTCTCGTTGGTGATGCACCTTGCTCCTACTCCTCTCGTCCACGCTGTCGCGGCTAGCAGCAGCAGCAGAGCCCACCTGGCGCCGGGCAGTGTCATTGCAGTGCACCACGTGCAGCAGCTTCACCAGCCACTGATTCAGCGCCACTGCTGCTCCTCCATACGACAGCCGCCGCACGTCCAGCTGCCACGTGTCGCCGTCTAAGTGGACCAGCTCGGTGGCACCCCCTCTGCCTTGTTGTCTGGGTGTTGTCATCACCTCTCCAGCGCCCTTTCGGCCTGCCACCACCTTCTCTTCACCCCCAGCGGCCGTATCACCCATGCTCCTCTCACTACCGGGGCTGCTGCTGCTGCTGCTGCTGCTGTCAAAGCTCTCACTGCTACTCGTGCTGAAGCTTCTCCTTATGCTGCTGATGTTGTTGCTGTTGCTTCTGCTGTTGCTCCTGCTGTTGCTGTGCCCTGTGCCCACCCACCCAGTGTTGCCCCTCTCCCTGTTCCCCTGTGCGTCTCCTGAGACCTCCCCCAGTCCCTGCATCAACCCAGCCTGCAGGGCGGCAGACAGGACAAGAGCTGCCCTCCGGTGCCGCCCAAATGTCCAGAGGCAGTCTGTGAGAGTGGCAGCTAGCACCTCATGAGCGCGCGTGGCATAAAAGTGAGGCAAGGAGGTGTGTGTGGGAGGAGGAGAGGAGGAGGAAGGGGGCAGTGACGGCTTGGAGAGGAGGAGGTGGATGAGATTATGCACCTGGGGCATGCAGGGAAGCATGGGCGAGAGCAGTATGGAACACGGTTAGCATTGGGAGGAGCGAGGGATAGGGATGCAAAGGAAAGACGAGGGGTGAATGGGAATAGCAAGCTGCATGCAACTCCAGTGGGCAAGAGAGGAGGTAATGGGGGGAGGGATGAGGAAGGCAAGGCAGGCAGACAGTGAAGCATGAGGCGCCATGATGCAGCATGTGTGCGAACAGAGACATGCACCACCACACCCCTTGAGCTCACTCGGAATCCCATACATACTTCCCCCCACCTCAACACACCTGAGCATCGGAGAGCCCGTCTTCCAGGATCAGCCTTGCACATGCCTCTCCCACGCCCCCCTCACTCTCCACCTCCCCCAGAAACCACCTCAGCACGCTTCCCGCCTCCTCCTTCTTCCCGCTGCAGCACCCCGCCACACCCGCCAGCACGCTCGTCACCAGCGCCACATCAGCGCGCTGCTGACACGCCGCCACGTCAGCGAGCACCGACTTAATCAAATCCGGGCGGCTGCGGGCGGCGCAGGAGGAGACGAGGGTAGCGAAGGTGAAGTGGTTGGGAGGGATGGAGAGGGATCGCATCTCCCGATACACGTCCCACACCTCTGCACTCCTCCCAGCCGCTGCATATGCTGCCATGAGAGTGGTGTACGTCACTGTGTTGGGTCGCACACTGGGCCACGGGAACCGAGCCTTGCGCTTGGGAGGCCTCTCAGCTTCATGCTGCTGTTGGTGTTGCTGCTGCTGATGGCACAAATGGTGTTCTCGCCGCATGCTGAATTCACCTGCTTCTTCTGCATCTCTCACTTCCCCCGCTCGCTCTCCCTCCTCGTACTCTTCATCCCCATCCCAAAACCCTTCCGCAGTCCCATCACTCTCCCCTCCGTCCTCGTCCTCCTCCTCCTCTCCAACCCCTGCTCCAACAACATTCCCTCCCACCCCCAACTCTCCTTCTCCTCCTGCCTCGAACCGCTCTCCACCGCTCATAACTCCTCCTTCCCCGCGCATGAGTCCCAGCACGCCTTCAGCAGCATCAGCATCGCCCTTTAAGGCATACCCATGCATCAGAGCATTCCATGTGCGCACATTCGGCTGCACTGCTGCAACACGCATCCCTTCCCCGTCCCCCCCATCGCCCCCTTCCCCCCCATTCCCCCCATTCCTCCCCACCATCCCCCCCCCGCCCCCCACCGCCCCCAGCAGCAGCTCCTCCGCCTCCTCCACCCGCCCAGCCTGCCCCAGCCCCCACACATACGTCGTCAGCAGGGCGGCGTTCATCGGCAGCTTCTGCGCCGCCCGCACATGGTGCAGGAGCGAGAGGGCAGCGTCAGGGTCGGCATGCAAAAAGTGCATGTGAGCGATCATGTTGACTGCTGCCTGTGTGGGGGGCACGCCTCTCCTCTCCATGTCCCTCAGCAGTCTCCGTGCCTCCTTCACTTGCCCGCCATTCACACACGCGCGTATGAGGCTGCTATAAGCTGATGGGCTGAGGGTGTGGGTACGCGGAGGGGATTGCTTGCTGCTGCTACCTGCCTCATGAGCAGTTGCAGCAGGAGCGGGGTTTCCTTCTGCCATGTCAAGATGCATACTGGCTGCGTCAGCATGTGCCCTGTCCATGTCAGCATGTGACCCGTTCATGTCAGCATGTGATCTGTCCATGGCAGCGTGTGTGAGCCGCACCAGTCGCAGCAGGTCAAACAAGTCCCGCCCATCCCGTGCCATGGCTCGCAGCATCAAATCCAATGACTCTGGATCCGGACACGGCAGTCGGTGGCAAGTCAAGGAGTCACCACCATGCATCCGTGCTGGTGCATCCAATTCCATGGGAGGACCAGGACTACCCATGAGGAATTGCATCCATGGATCGTACCCCACTTCTGCCCTGCTCTCCCTCCCATGCTTTCCCCCAGCACCAGCTCTCTGCTCCTCCAACCCAGCTCCGACCTCTAGTCCGGCCTGGGCTGTGGTGTGCAGGGTGGGATGGAGGGAGGAGCGGGGGAGGAGCGCGAGGGAGAAGAGGTGCTGTGCGTGCTGGTGCAGGCCCGCTGCTAGGAGCGATTGCAGGAGCAGGTGGAGCGAGGAGGGGGTGAGGGGAGGAGGGGAGAGTGATGGTGCTGAGAGGGCCGGCGATGGGCTTTGTGGTTGTAATTGGGATGATAATAATGTTGGTGATGATGGTGACGGTGATAAGGATGGTGATGGCGATGGGGATTGGGTTGAAAGGAAGGCGGAGGAGAGATGCGAGGGGGGTTCAGGGGAAGGAAGGAGGACAGGGCGGATGAGAGCAGAGAGAGCCGCGGGGCTGAGGGGGTAGCGATGGGGGGTGGAGTCGGATAGGAAAGTGAGGGCGAGGGGCGGGGCGGAGGGAGAGAAGAGGGCGGAGGAGTGAATCGCCTGCAACAAGGCCACCTGGTGGGAGGGGCGGTGTGGGTGGGCAGAAAGGGGGGAAGCAGAGGCAAGGGTGGACAGGGAGAGGGGTGAGATGGATGAAACGAGAAAGGGATGGGAGGTGAGAGAGGTTGGCAGGGCGGACAGTGAAGAGAGGGGCAAGACAGGAGAGAGTGGTGGGACAGGAAGAGGTGCAAGCAGAAAGAGATGTGACAATGGGTGAGCGATCGAGATAGAAGGATGTATGGAGAGTGATGGGTGAGATGGAGGGAGGGCACGTACAGACAGGATGGAGGGCTGCATGGATGACGCGGAACGGTGGGATCCAAAGAGCTGTGGAGCATCAAACGGCTGTGAGAGGTCCAGATGCTGCATGGCGGATCCTGACAGACCTTCCAGCACCCCTTGAGGTGATGATGGTGGTGGTGGTGACGATGATGATAATGATGCTGGTGATGAGGCTAACGATGCTGATGATGGAATGTGCATCTCTGCCTGGGCTTCTCCTGGCACTTGGGGTGATGCAAGTGGCATGGCCCCTAGAGGCGGGACGGAGGAGAAGGCGAGGACACAAGGCGAGTGGTGGACGGGACTACTGCCCTCAAGAAGATGCTCCGCTGATGTGATAGAGTGGTGATGCACGGTCGAGTGCGGTACGATGCGAGTTAAAATGGCCTCAAGTGCGCTGCTGCTGCTGGCTTTCCTGCTGCTGTAACCACTACTGCTGGTGTTCTCGTTGCTGCTGCTGTCAATACTGCTGCTGCTCTCACTGCTCCCCTTGCTGCTAGAGCAGCTCTCCGCATGACATGTGGCATCCACGAGCCCATCCACGTCATCCATCACCACCACTCGTATGTCAGACAGCAGGGCTGCCACGTCAGGGTTTAGACTCTTCTCCTGCTGCTGCGTCACGAGATGCTGCTGCTGCTCCTGCTGCTTCATCGCGCTTTGAGGCCGTGGTTCTTCCTGCAACAACGCACCACCAACCGCCTCCCCACCATGAACATAGCCCACAACTTCCCCCCTATGGTGTGTACCCGTCAATGCAGCATTGACAGGAGATGCCACTGCAAGCATTCCTTGAGGCGGGGATACAGGTGCATCAGGAGCAGAGAGGGCGGGCAGGGAGTCAAAGAGCGCCAGGAGCTGCTCGGGAGTCAGTACCACAACACCCCCCCCACCTCCCCCCTCTCCCGCTCCCTGCAACCCCTGCCCGCTCCCCCCCTCAACCCCTCCCCATATCGCCTCCCCCGCCCCTGTCTCAACGTCTTCCCGCCCTAACCCGCTTCCAGCGTCCCCAGTTCCGTCTCCTCTCCCCTCGCCCCCCACCCCTCTGCCCCCATCCCCTCCCGCACTCCCCAGCTCGGAGTGCAGGCGGAGCAGGCGGTCAGGGGAGCAGAGCACGAGCACAGAGGGGGGGGAAGCGGTGGCAAGCACGGGTGGAGGGGGAGGCGTGGGCTGCCTGCTGGCCCCTCTGAGCGTTGACGATACGGCCTGCCTGTACGAATCGTCAGCTAAGACGTTTCCCGACTCTCCCTCAAGCTCCCTGCTTGTGTTGCCACTCCCCTCCCCGCTGCTCCCCTCCCCACTACTCCTCTCTCCACTGCTCCTCTCTCTGCTGCTTTCCCTGCTCCCACCTCTGCTGCGGCTGCTGCTGCGCCCGCTCCTGCAGATAATGCTGCTGCTGCCACCTGTTGTGTACGGATTGGCTGCGTAAGACGCCAACATGGACGCCAGCTGGCATGGGGGATCAAGGGGATGCCGTGCGATCAAAACAAGATGAAATCAGGAAGAATCAGCGGGATCGGATAAAATAACAGACTATTCAGAGAGAGAAAAGGAGAGGAAGATATCGTGCTGAGAGGGAATGGAGAAGATGCAAAGAGCGGTGGGGAGAAAGGAAAGGGCCAAGGGCGCTCACCACAATCCCGACAGCCGTTCCCGAGCCGGACTGGGCTCGGATGAATGCATGGCGGTTGCCGGCTGGTGGTGGGGTGGGATGGGGCGAGGAGCAGGCGAATATCATGTGACTGTTGTAAAAACAAGCAGAGGAGCAGTGAGGCATAGAAGGAGATGCTCGCTCGGACCCGACTGAGACTACAGCAGTAGCCGGCCACAGCTCCTCAAAGGGATTCAGCCCACAGGGAAAGGAGGCGTTAGATGGGCAATGAGTGTGATGAGTGCAGTGAGGTTCAGGCGTACTGCGCAGGAGGTCATGCAGTGAGAAGTGGTTGCGTGCTGCTCTGCGTGCACGCCTGTGCGCCTGCGATGCCGCTGCTGCTACTCTCCCTGCTTCAGATGCCACTATTGCTGTTCCCGTTGCTGCCGCCGCTGCTGCTGCTTCTGCCGCTTCTCTTGTTCCTAGTGTTGCGTCTGTTACTGCTGTTGCTGATAACGACGCTTCTGTTGCTGCGGTTTCTTCTGGTGCTGTTGCTGCTGCTGCTGCCGCTGCATCCACTGCCGAAGCATCCTCAGCAATAGGCCCGCGATCCGCGCTTTCACTCATCTCAACGGTTTCACACATCTCACCAGCTTCACTCGTCTCCGCCACGTGCGCTGGCATCTGCTGCCACCCGTTACCCCTACCCACAGACGACCACGCCCGACAACCACCCGCCCTCGCCGCACATGACGCTACCGGGACGACGGCACTACGCGCTTTGCCTTGCACGGCGACGCTGGGGCGCGACACGTGGCTCTGTGCGTTGTTGCTAGGTGGCAGAGCGGGAAAACAGCTGGACAAGTGAAGGCTCGAGACGGGAATCGCCGCAGCAAAGGGAGTACCGCGACGCCCTAAGAGACTCCCCGCGCGCACCGGGATAGACACCCGCTGCGGATCTCGACGCAGTGCAATGGGCCAGAGAGTAATAAGGGACCCCGGAGGTATCCTGTGTCTCGACCGCAGTGCGTCATTGGCCTTTGATCCCGTCCGTGCGACACGCGTCAGGTTATAAGCTGGGACATGCGAAGGTGATGGTAACAGCAGTAACTGCTCCGTTTTCGCTGCATCTGGCCGTGCAGTGGCAGACGCGGATTCGCAGCGCGATGGGAACGTTCGAGCCGTGAGGGAACTCGCATCTCTCCAGCATGACTGTATCACCTTTCGCCTCGCCATCCCGAATCGCGAAACGCAGATAACTAAGGGGTCAGAGACATGTCAGCTGCTGCAGAGCCAATATGGTAGCTATACAACGTGGCGACGGGTGTGGGAAAGGCAACATCTATAAAAGAAGCGAGTTCTACATGATATTGTGGAGAAGATCCTCAGGAGGCTGGTATTAACTAGGAGCCTCTGCTGGATTTGGAGAGCTTTCGTTGGAAACTTCTAGCTCCACCACTATCCACAACTTATCTCCGCTTTGTGTCGCTTCTCGATAATGGTTGTAGCCCGTGGAATTTCAGTACTTATAGACTTTCTAAGCACCTCCCTACAAAAATTTTAGCACCTCTTCAAACTGCAAAGCTGGAACTGGATATTTGTTTGTAGACACTAACATGTCCACGAATCTGTATTATAAAAAAAACGAGTCACTCCATGAACGTGGTCGCCATTTTTCTTGTGATGACGGAGAACACGACGATCTATTTGTCTCTGCTACACCTAGTCCGCGGTATTTTAACCGCCACTTTATTGACAATATAAAGGGTACAAAAGTACACGAGTCAGGAGGTTAGACTGGTAGCTACGGTAGCTAAAAGAGCCTGTGCAAAGGAAGCAGCAGGAGTAGTCCCTCTACCACTTTCAGTAATCATTCCCCAAGTACGCAAAGTCCGCTGCCGACGGTGGAATAACTTCCGAAGGGATAGTGCTGGACGCTACTGTGAATCGAACCTGTGCCCGCCTGCAGATTGTGCGGGCCTGCTCACGCTGGTGGACGAGGGAAATGCGTTTGTAAAAACTGGTCTCGAAGAGTTGTGGAATGAGGTCAGATGAACCGCTCAAATCGCGAAGACGCGAAGCACCACGACGACTGCAGTGTCGGAGGAAATCCTGGAATGACTTCCCAAAACACCCGAAAGTCTCAAGCGCCAGTGGAAGTAACTTGACGTCGGGACGGGCGTGCAGGGATGGTGCGTACAGAGTTGCCTTCTCAGTCTCGCGTGTAGCTGCGGCTGACCCAATGACGGTGGCAGCATTGGAGTGGGGGAAGCCGTGCTGCGAGTCGGCTACCGAAACGTCCAAAGCCAAGGTGGTGCCGGATTGGAGGTCCCTGCAGGTGATGTCAGGTCGGCGGCCTGGAAGGAGGTGGTGGTCTTCCAACTGCGACACGAGACCAAGCTCCAAGATAATGCGGTGCAGTTCGTGTTTGATGGCGTCATGCACTCTGGTAGGCTCGTTGTTCTTGGGGCAGCGTAGGGCATGGGATGGGAGGGAGGAGTCAGAGAAAGGATGTCCACAGGCGCAAGTTTCAGCGGAGCTAAGGTGAGGAATGGGGAGGCCAAGGCGGATAGCAGCAGCGATGCGCCATTCGGATTCAGTGAGCTGCAACTGAGGCGAAGAAGGAGCCGCAGTAAGCCAATCCCCCGCATGCGGGCCCTGCAGGGAGGTTAAACGGGCCAGGCGAAGTGGGGAAGTGACAGACGAGCGGACTTTTTCGAGCAAAGAAGCCTCAAGCTGCTGTGAGAGATGAGTGAAGAGTTTGGGGGGATAGCCGGGTAGGAGGTGGGACCAGGAAGGGAAACGGTCACGAACTTCTTTTGGGAGCATGGCAGTAGCAGCTGGAATGAACTCGTCGAGGCGATGAATGGTGTCAGATGAGAGAAAGGGGCGGAAAAGTGGTGAGCCGTCAGTGATGAAGTGAGTGGACAGTAGTGGAAGCGACTGGGCCCAACTGCAGAGGTAACTAAGAGGTGCTGTAGAGGCGGAGGAACGAAGGCCAAAGCCCCCAAGGCGAACTGGAAGAAAGACTTGCTGCTGCGCTGTTTTTGTCTGTTCCGTGTCTGGGATCCAATAACCGGGGCCAAAAAGCTGGGTGAAATGGTCCAAGAGGGTAGAATCCCAAGAGCTGAAGAGGTCATGAATCTCTGGGAATGGCGATACAGTCCGGAGGAGGAAGGAAGGACGGGCTGAGACGCACTGGGAGAGGATGCGGGAGGCAGTCTGAGGGTCATGAAGCTGGTGAAGAAGAGGAAGAGAGGTAGTAAATGAGGCGAGCTTCTCCTGTACTGTGGAGATGATGTAGCCGTCCGAGCCAATCGGGACCCCCGCAACGTTGAGGCCGTTGGGAGCGATAGGTACACCCGAAGGAGTTGCGCAGCCCTGAGGCCAGTCAAGAGGGCACCAGATGGAACACTTCGAGGGTTGGACTGTAAGGCCCAAGGAATGAAGGCGATCGGTCAGGGCTGTGAAGGCAGTGGTGATGATTGAAGGAGGGCCAACGAGGAAGGTGTCGTCAGCATAAGAGGAGATGAAGATGGATGGGAACTGGTTTTGTGTGGGAAGAATGGCAAGCTGCTGGGTGAGGGCGTAGAGAAAGGGACCGCAGGGGTCCCCCTGGCGCACACCCGAGGCGGACTCGAATGTATGGAGGGTGGGGCCGTTGCGGTAGTGAAGGGGAGACGGGGAGGAGTAGAAGAGGCTGAAGTAGGGAATGAGAGGAGAGAAGGGTGAGGAGCGGAGAGCCTCGAACATGGCAATCCTGTTGAAAGAGTTGAAGGCGTTAGCGACGTCAAGCTGAAGCACCGCCCAATCAGGATGGAGGGAAAGGGCCGATTGTACGGCATGCGCCATCACCTCTATGCCTGCAGGAACCGCGACCCCGAACTGCAGGCATGGAAGGAAGGTGTCACGCATTTGCTGCTTGAACATGAGGGTGATGCAGCGGGAAAGAAGGCGCGGGAGAACTTCACCAATAGCAATCGGCCGGACCCCACCCTGCGGCTTCTTAAGGGCGACGAGAGTAGACGCAGTGTAATAGGAGCGGACAGAGAGTGGGAGCTCGGCCTGCAGCCAATTCTGGAAGAGGCGGAGGAGGGAGGGAAGGTGCTGCTGGGAGGTAAGGAAGGTGTCTCTGAGGTGCTCAATCAACCAACCCGAAGGGCCAGCCGCGGTACCCCGTGGGGCTGATCGAAGAGCCAGGTGGAGGAGCGGGGCTGAAAGCTGTGGGTAAGAGTCTGGGGTGAAGGTGGATATCCAATGAGGAAGAGGCTGCGGAGCTGGTGGATGCTTGGAAGAGAGAGAGGAGATGGTTTCCGAGGAGGGGGGTGCGAACTCGCCGGCTTCCAATGCTGCCAGGGAGCGAGACCAGTCGCCGCACTTAGCAAATCGCGCGGCACGATGGAGGCGAGCCTGCGTGGCTGTGGAGCGTGCTGAAGCAAGGTTGAGAGGGCGAGCAGCAGGGGTGGCAGCGGCAGAGGCTTCAAGGAAAAGCGCATGCCAGTCCCCACTGATGAAGCGCTGAGCAAGAAGGGCACATGCTGCGGTAAGCGATTGCGAAGGGGTAGCTGCAGTTAGGCGGAGGACGAGGCGCGGAAACGCAAGCAGGATAAGATGCGCAGCAGTGTCAGAGGGATGCTGTGCAAGCCGACGAAGGGGGATAAGCATGGCGTCAAGCACAAGAAGGCGAATGCGAGGAGGGATGCGGCGGATGATGGGTATTTTAACCGCCACTATCTGAACCACGCGAGGGTACTTCTTCTTGGTCAAACTTTTTATACGAGTAGTTTCGAAGTTTATTGAGAGTAGAATCTAGCATACCCTTTGTGAGACGACGGCAGTCAAAACCTGGTCAATGCCGATCCGCCCTCTGTTTCCGAGCACTAAGTGTGAGTTTCTTTAGAAGGAAATGCTTCTGGCTGCAAAACAATAGCCTTGAAGTCTCTGGCTGCCCATCTCATTACCCGAAAACTAACAAAGGGTGTTTGAAGCGAAACAGTTCACGTGGTTAAAATACCGCAGACTAGGTGTACAAATGGTTCCGCTATAAAGGCCCGCGCTAACAAAGTCCCATTTTCAAAAAGAGGAGCTTTTTCCTATAATTCCTATGTGTAGCCCCTCCTCTACAGTCCCCTTGCGAGTGGCTGAAAATGTACAGTAACGAATCTGATCCTTGTGATTCAGAGCGAATCAGTGGCTGAACCAATCAAATGGCAGAGTCAGATTACTAGTGCGACGTGTACAAGGTTTGCGAAATGTGAAGTTTCGAGACGAATCGAGCTTGCGAAGCCCGTGCGATTTTGGGTGCCACATCATCCTGGTTTCATGTGCCACGTAACACAGGTCGTACCCCTTGGAGGTGAGGTGGCGGGGCACAGGTGAAATAGACTTCGGCGTTGACCAGAGGAACTCATCCAGCGCGTTCAATTCGTGGTTTTCGTTACCCATAACACCCAATCGCTACCACCGGCTAAACAACATGGCCCGAGTCCCTAAGCGCTCTCGCATCCCACTCGCCACGAAACGGGCCATCTGTGAGCACTTTGCGCTGAATCCCCACCTTCGACACGAGGATTTGTCACGCTGGTGCAACACGAGGTTCGGAATCCTGCCTGACCGCAGCACCATTGGGAAAATCCTCCGTGGCGAGAGGAAGTGGCGCGCCGCGACAACAATCCAGGGCCGCACCTACCAGCCATCATACGTAAGGACGACCTAAACCGCCCAGTTGGGACTATAGGGTTCAATTTGCCTGGGATTTTGAGGTTTTGACACATAGTCCCGCGCGGTTCGTGTTTTGGAGCGGGACTTAATGCGAGAACAACTGTAACTGTTTCGTTGTCGTTTCTTATCACTGAGGGACAGATCTGCGGAAAGTGGCACGGGAGGGGAGGGAGGGACGTGGTGCCTGATGAAGGTGCTGGCGAGGAGGGTGCCTCTACCGTACTAACATCCCTAGAACCGGGTCAAACATTTTCTTCGATCCCGATTCCGGAAGCACACGAAACACCCCTTTTTCACCGATCACGTGATGAACCTGTGTGCCTTGCGTTGTGTGAGGAAAATGCTGCCGCATGCGCAGCTGCCCACTAATGCCAACCCAACTCGACCTAGCAAACAGAACTCATCCTACACTGATCCGAGTGAATAAGAGCGTGTCCGAAGTGAAACGTGGATGGATGTCGGGGGATGTCGGCGAATCCTGACGGTCGGAACCGATCCGAGGGCTGAAATTCATCGACATCCCCAAACGGATGTCAGCGGATGTCGACGTTTCACTTCGGACACCCCCTAAATGGCGACAGCTTACCTCACCCTCACCGCACGAGGGCCGGCCACTAGTGTAGCACATGGTGTGGGATCTTTCTTGGTCGACACACCGAGAGGCGTATACGATCTCGCAAGAGATGGCTTGAAGATAAGGTGGGCTCAACAGTCGTTTCAAAGAGTCAGTCTCCGATTTTTTCTCAACGCCGCAATTTCTTCCTCTTAGTCTCCCATCCACTACACCGTGACACCGAGTATCCTCAGCGGAAAGATGGAAGGGCCAAGTGTTGTCGAGTTGCATCTCTCCCCGCGTTCCTCGCCTCTCGCGTCAACCTTCAAGCGCCCTCATATTTTCGAGGATCTCCTTCTCGACGTTCCGCAATCCCCGCCGCTTCGCTCCCCCTCCACCGGCGCCGTCTTTCCACGCTTCAGCCCTCCCAGGTCCAGCAGTGGCGACATTTGTAACCAAGTTCGTCAAATTTGGTGCGAATGGCGTCCGGCGACCATTTCCGTCGTCCGCAGCCCGAGCGCGGCTCTCGTGTCGCATCTAGGCTTTGCATCGGCGGCGGAAATGGATCGCATGTGGGTGGAAGACGAGAGCCCATCGAACGAGTCTCTGCGCCCCGACCGCGGCGATGATTCGGATTCGCCGCGGTGGTTCTGGGGGGCGAACAGGGGAAGGCGCGCCGAAGCAAGGAGGTCCTCTTCCGATTCAGAGCGTACTGTTGTCGTCCGTGCTCCCGTCCTCGTCCCTGGCAGCAGTAGCGTTGGCAGCAGCAGCAGCGCGCGATCGCCGGCATTGGGAAGTTATCGCAGCAGCAAGCTTCAGGTTTTTTCGCAGGGTTATGTTACCACAAGGGTGGAGGAGACCGGTGGAAAGGCGTATCCCGTCTATTCGCCGCAAAGCACCGCTACCGCTCCCCCAGCAACGGTGAAGCCTCGTTCTAACGGTCATTGGGGATCGGATCCGGCTGCGGGCAGAACGGAAACCCCGCATTGTCTGTGCTTTTCAGAATACACCGGCGTCCATCGCCGCACATGCAGCCTCCAGACACGCCTTTCCAGCCATCGAAACAGCTCTTTCGAAACAACTGTCGTGCGAAGACGAGCCTCTCTAGACGGGGAGAAAGGCCTCGTCAGCTGCTTGGCTGGCAGCCCCAGATCTCGAGGCAGGTGTGGCTTCGCAGGTGTTCGGCGCCGCGTGTCGTTTGACAAAATGGTTCACGTGCGCTACATCGGCGTGGCGGATAAGGCACCCCCGTCAGGTGCAGTGCAGATTCCGCTGGAAGCAGCTGGAAAGGTGATGGTTGGGGCGACTGCATGACGGTTGATGCGTCTCCGTCTTGAAGGCCACATTTGAAGGTGATGGCGGAGGTGAAATGCTGCCGGTTGGGGATCGGAACGGAGCAAAGAGCACCCAACAAAGGTGGCAATCGCGCACTGAAAGCTATCCAGCAGTGCCATCGGCCCAGCTATCTGACGATCTGGATGGTCTACTGCCAGAATGCAAGGTTCTTAGCTCAGAGGAGGCCTTGCCGCCAAAGCCCGGTTTCCCACTACCGCAAGAGCTTATGGAACTACCAGACTGCCCTTTTATGACTTCCTCGTGTTTTGTCCGAATGGGCTCAGGATCGAATGGTAGCATCTCCACCATAAACTTTCCTCGTTTTGTCCCATCATCACTTAAGTGTGGTCTCATGAAGACTAGGACTTGCATTGCTTCTCTGGCATCATGAAAGTACCATATTACCCTTTGTGCCTTCTTAAGGGTACATTCCTGTATCGACACAAGTGTCTCAATGCAGTCACAGAACCAATGTACCGTTCTGCACCGCATCACACCTAGGAATCGATCATCTCCATGGACCGGATCTTGTCGTTTGATACGCGAGGCTTTTGTGACGCGCTTCAGGAATGCACCTAAGTACAGGAGAGGCAAAACATGACCCTAAGTACTACCCTGTGGTAAGATGTGATGTGTGATGTGATATACATGACATGCAATACGTCTCTGTTTAACAGTTTTAATCAGAAGCCAAATGAATTTTGAATGAACTTGTACAGGCTGATAACCTGTATCAGCCGTATCCCCCATATACCATAATTTCGTGTCATCTTCGTGCCCTTCCCCTATTTCCCCAGCAATTCCTCCTCCTGTCATCGAAGAGGGGTTGACCTAAGTGGTCGTCGCTTTTCGCCTCCTCTTTTCGCAAGGTTGCAGACATTGCATAGAAACGCGTTTTCAGTTTCGCAACGCGACAACGAAATAGTTCGTCAGACTTGTCTGTCGCAATTTGCCCATCACGTTGTCTGACAAAGGTTTGTCCATTTCACCCTTCCCCCTCATCAATCAACTAGCTTTGACTCAAGGGTCATCGATTTTCTGCTGCAGCTCAATAGGCGCACAATGCTCGTTCTGTCCTTTTTCGCGTTGAGCTGACCTTCCCTGTCTGACAGGCGAACCGCCCATACTGCGCCATCCAGAATGTCAACTCAGATATCGCCACGCCATTATCCAACTGATTGCCTGCACAGCCCCCGCCCGCAGGAGCACCGACGAAGCGGGACGTTCGAAGGTGGATACACGAGTTGTGGTGTCACTGGTACGTATTTGTATTGCTCGAAATGCTTTCGAGAGCAGTTCGCGGCTGCAATAGTTTCTCGCCATGGAATCGTCGGCTGACTTAGAGACTTCAACCAGCAATCAGCGCCGCTCAGGCAGGATATCTCGCAATGAAACAGCATCGCTAACCTACTCACAGCACCGTCGATCCAAACCCGTCCGCGTATCTTCGCCGCAGCTGTTCTCAAAGTCCCTTTCCCTTGACGACATCCAAGGCACAGCCGCAAACGCCAGGGGCCCGCCAGCGACCACTCGGCGCCATGCCGCGAGGCGGAGTCTCGACATGGATCATGCTGCGAGAGAAGCGAAGCTCCAACGAGAAAGCCGCGACGACGCGACTGATCCGCGCGGCGCCAGCGGAGGACGTAGTACGTCAGTGCCTTCCCCGCGAGGCCGCCAAACGTCGTTCACGTTTGCCGTCCACTCAGCTGCGGGATCGTCGGCTCCTTCCATTTCTTCACTGAAACAATTACCAAATCAACCGCCCTCCCCCGCAGATCAGATCAAGGCATGGCGGCAGGCCAGCAAGAATAATGGCGTTCCCCATTATTCGTTGAAGGCGGCAACAGTCTCAAACAAGGTGCCGAGGCCGCCTTCTTCAACCCCTCCCAAAGGCCCGCATGGGAATGCTTTCTCAACAACTCCTAAATTTTTGGAGGGCCGCGTGAAGAGCGTCCCTTTGGAGGAACTCCATGGCGTAGCAATGCATGCAGATGAGCCTGAGGATCTCTATCCTTCTGACACGCCTACTAACCAAAGCGTTGCAGTTAACGAAGCT